TTCTTGGCTCCACTAACTGTTCTCTCGCTTGACTTGGCAAACCGATTTTGAGCAATTTGATCCAACATGATGAAAGCATCCGGTATCGATTGACTCATAAAATTCCCCCCGTTTGATGCATCTAGGACCGTTCGTGCATTCTCGTTAATCCCTTGGTAAAAGATGTGGATTTGCCGCCATTGTTCGACTCCATGTGTTGGACACTGCCGCAAAAGAGTTTTAAATCTCTCCCATGCCTCGTATAATTGTTCGCCTTGCTCTTGGACAAAATTATGAATTTTTCGTCGGATTCTCTCGTTCTTCTCGGGTGAGCTATAAACTTTCATGAAAAGGTTGAGGAGTTGAGGCCACGACGAGATAGAGTGGGGGGCTTGGGACATCAACCGCTGGCGAGCTCTTCCTTGTAAGGAGTGCTTGAAGAGAATTAATTGAAGCGCCTCTTGGGAAACGCCATTTTGACGGTGGGAATTATAGGTATCTAGAAAATTGACAATGTGAAGATGGGGATCTTCACCTGCCAACCCACTAAATAGTCCGTTATTTTGGAGCATCGTCAAAAGGCCTTGCTTGATCTCAAAATTGTGCGCCTCAATGGGTGGATATTGGATGCTCGGGCGGAATCCGTCTAGAGTTGGGATTATGTAATCTTGAAGTGCTCGTGGACGAACTGCTGGCTGTGCTGGAAGTTGAGGGGGTGGGTCTTGGACTTGGTTTCCGTTGGTCTCGAGTAAATTGCCCACGGCCCTGCGTTCGTCGTCCTCCATTATATTGTTTTCGCGTTGAAGTCTCCTAGCGGCTCGAAAAGTACGTTCGATTTCGGGATCAAACGGTTCTCTAGCAAGATCGAGTCTCCTACGCATACACAATACCTAAAAAAAAAAAAAAAAAATTAAATGGGTGAATCGTGAAAATTGTTCAAATTTAGAGCTAGAATAAAATAAATAATTAAAATAATCCCCGGCAACGGCGCCAAAAACTTGTTGGTCGAAAACCTACACGCAAGTGCACGTATCGTACAAGTAATATAGTGGACTAAAAGTCCGGATATCGAACCCACATGGAATATTTAATTATCTAATCCTAGACGCTAAATTCTACCAATTATTATCAAGCCCACCCTACAAAGTCGACTTTAGAGAGAATTAACTAGATTAAAATAAATTAAAAACAAGCAAAAACAAGAAAGCAATTTAAAACGAAGATTTAATCAAGATAAGCAAGCCTAGGATTTTATTCTTCCCCCTATGTGATTATTATTCCCCCAATTCCTTCAATTATGCAAGCAATTAACCCGGATTATTAACCTGAGATGCTAAAATAATCATAACCCGCTTCCGCGTGTATTACGATTCTAATACTCTAGATTCAATTACTATATTCCTATGCAATTAATTCTAGAACACAGCATTAAGCACAAATCTCAATAATGGCTACCTAAGAAATTAACTATATTCCTATGTTAATACCACAAAGGCTCTTCTACCACAGTTCTAATTATTAACCCGATCTTCCGATTCATGCGGTTAACAATAACATAAAAGCACATAAGTTGATCAAGTTCATGCACTTAATAAAACAAGTAGAAGAAATAATCCGGAATTAAAACTTGCATAAAATCATAGAAAAGGGTTCATAAATCCCACAAAGGGTTCCAAATAAAATCCTAGAAATAAGAAAATTAGCTACTCATGATTAAAGGAAAAACACAAATAAAATAAATCATAGACGATAAATCTATGCTTGAAGTCTTCGAATTCTTCGTCTTCGTTATTGCTTTGTTGCTCTCCAAATTGCGTAAAAAGATGCTCAATTGTGTGCTTGGCTTGTTCTTATATAGGGTGAAGAACTTGGGGAAGAAGGCAGCTTCCTTGTGCAATTAAAATTCCTTTACTGCGCAACTTCGGAGTCTCGGACGGGGGTCCCACAATTTGCACTAAAACTGGGACGGGGGTCCGAGCGTTAAATCTTCAGAATTTGATATTTTCACTTTGACCCATATTTTCGCCAAATTTGCAGTTTTGACCCCATACTTTTCCAATTCTTTAATTTGTACCTAAAATACAATAAATCAACTTTTTAAGCACCAATTATCGTTAAAACACGCCAAAAGCTCAAATAAAAAGGTACGATAAAGTGTAAAAATATACACTTAACACACCCCCAAACTTGAACTTTTGCTTGTCCTCAAGCAAAATCTACCAATAAGCAAATAACTCAACGATAACATCTCATCACATAGATCAATGATCAACTTCACGTTTTCAGAACTTGTAATTATAATGACAATTCTTAGGCATTCGCAAGCTCAAAATTCAACAACACTTAGTCACTCACCATTACCAAAAACCACAATTCATACAATTGCTTCAAGCATCCAATATTTGCAAATTAAAGATAGAAAGAATTTATACTTACATGCATATGTTTGACTCCAAATACTCACCAAATTATCCTACTCTACTAATATCGAACATTAAGCTATTGGGATCATTGGGGCTTTGTGGCTTTCAATTGTTAGGCTCTTTGGTTCGAGGTAGGAAATATGGGTATGTGTGGCAATTCTTCTTGAATTTAGGTGATTACGCCAAAATTTGAAAGATAGGCGTTTGAAACAATGAATTCACCTCTACGGACTTTAATAAACTCGATTTTCAAAAGTTCAAAAGTCTCCACTTTTGCTTTTGAGGCAATGGATCGAGTTTTCAAAAATAATTCAACAACTAGTCATTATTTCTCCATTCTAGTCTCTTCTTCTTCTCTCTTTTTTATTTTTTTATTTTTTTTATTTTTTTTTATTTAGTATATATATATATATATATAGAAGCATATATATTTATCTCTTTTTTTTTCGAAGAAGAAGAAGGACCTTATAAAAGTGGTCGCGGCCGTTTATTGTCCAACCGACGATGCCACAAGTCATCAGAGTCTGTTGCCCAAGCCACTGAAGCTGTTGCTGTCGTCATTTGACTGTAGTGGTACACCCCCTCACGTGACTCACCCGATCCAATCAGGCTCCTCGTCGTGCGGTCCTGCAAAATACATAGACGATCCGTGAATATCACAAAACAAATAGCATCACGAATCAATTTGCTAACAGACACCAAATTAGCGACCAAATTTGGTACATAGTGCACATGGTGGAGTACAAGCCTTGGTCGTAAGCTAATAGTCCCATCCTTGACGACTGTAGTACTATCTCCATCGAGTAATTCGACAGGAGATGGATGAATATCATGAACATTATGCAGTAATGAAAGATTACCCGTCATATGGTGTTAAGCTCCACTATCGATAAGCCAACAAACATTAGACTGAATTTTACCAATAATCTTACCAGATAATTTGTCGACGGTTGAAGTAGACTCTATTAGAGCAAGTAGACGGTGCAATGGCTCCGTGGATAGTCCAGACATAGTAGTTGTCCGTACGGAAGACTCGATTGTATGAGTAGAATTTCCGTACTGGGTTGCAGCGGCGAAAACGGGGCTTGGTTGTTGACCACGTGATGACAGAACACGCCCCCTTCCACGCCCCCGACCACGATGTAGGAGTTATACCAAGTCTGGTGCAGCAACCCTCAAATATATGGCCTTGACGTTGACTAAAGGTGCAAAACGGGCAACCAGACTGAGTAATCTGAGCAGCAAACCCAACGGCTGATCCTGTTTCCCGGGGTTGTAGGGCAGATCGATGACTTTCTTCTTGAGTAACCATAGAGTATACACGATTGAGATCCGGAAGGGGCTCGATATTGATAATTTTTGTATGCAGGGTATTGTATGACTTATCCAAACCCATGAGAATCTGGTAAACTTTGAGATAATCGAACCAAGTTAAGATAGGCGAACCATTTTTACAGGAATAATTTTCTAACGAAGATAATACAGCAAGATCTTCCCTCATGCCCAAGAATTGAGTATAGTATGACATAATTGACACTTCGGACTGTTTTGTTTAGTTAAGATCAGACCAGACCTTGTAGATGTTAGGGTCATTTTTAACCGAGTACCTAGTTTTCAAACACTCCCACAATATTTTGACATTTGTAAGACGAGAAACAGTAGCTCTAATAGGATCATCTAGGGAATTTGCGATCCATGAACACAACATAAAATTAACTATTTCCCATGCCACAAATTTGGGTCATCTTTGTCTGATTTGGTAATGGGACTATTAATAAAACCGATTTTATTTTGCTATTTCAAAGCAAGAATAATAGCATGTTCCCAAGATGCGTAATTTTAACCTTTCAATTTTATATGGGTTAGGACAGAACCTGGACTAGACGAGGGATGAAGATAATAGGGCGAAGTTGGATCGATGATAGAAGACTTTGGAGTTGTATCTGAAGAAACCCAAGACGAAAGGTCGGTGGTAGTAGACGGAGTTAGGCCGAGAAGGATGGTAGGCAGCAACAACAGACAGAGTTAAGCCAAGACAGATGGTCGGCGGCAACGGAAGGAATTAGGGTAGCGAAAGTATATTCTACAACCTAAGCTCTGGTCCCATGATAAGAATATAGTTATTGAATGGGAACGATACGTATATTCATTGAATAGCAGACTAATATATAGGCAAAAGAATGCCTTTACAATTGATCCTATTACAAGAATTTCTATAGATACAAAACCATGGAATATATGTGATTTGGTTATCTACCAAATTAATATTCTTTACATCAATATAACTCGTGCCTCCGCACCGTCTCCCCTTACCTCCTTTTCTTCTCATGAAAATAGGGTGTGCGTTGCCATTGTATTAGTAACCTCGATCATCGTTTCTGTGCTGTTGATTCTGTTCTTTATTGACAAAAACGGATATCCGAGTCTCAAAGTGGAAATGGTAACGGTTACTGTCGACAACTCTAATAACCATTCTAACTATGCGGCAGCGCAATTGAATATGGGCTTGTCTTTCTCTCCCGGAAAGTATCATAAATTCAAATACCATGATCATTTGGACGTTTTTTTTCGGCTTACGTCGGACGACAATAAGTGGTCGAGAACAAATATTGTGACATCATCATCATCGACGTCATTTGCAGAAAACATGGCGACGAATTATTTCAATGCAACTGCAAACACATTATTGCATCGTTCGCTCCTCAAAGGCTTACCTTTGGAATTCCAAGTGTCGATAGAGGTTCGGTTCAACGTACCATTTCACGGCGGACAAGACATTAGAGCCTAATTACAAAAATATAAAGGTTCGATAGTTTAATATTTCAACTAAATTAATAGAATTTTGTTAGTCCCAATCCTATTAATTTATAGAGATTTAACTGTACTACATCAAGTAGTAGTGTCACAACCCATCTTACTCCGATACTTGAACAAAATATGCGCAGCACCATAGTGTGCCAAAGCACCCACCACCACAAACACATGGAATATCTGATGGCTGTGCCCGGCAATATCGAACCACCCGGGCCTCCACCTTTCGGGAACCCTAGTCACATAAAACAAAGCCCCCACCAAATACGATAATCCCATAACCGACTCGTACGCCAAAGTCACATTCCTATGTGGATCGTTCCAATTAACCACGACCGCATGCACCGCCGGGATCACGCCGAACAAGCCCATGCACACGAAGAGCAAAGCACGGAAAGATCGGAATTTAGCGGAGGAGAGAGGAGGAGAGAGAAAGGTGGTGGTGATGGTGCACGCGCCCATGATTGTGATGCACGTGAGATAGATGATTTGCCAGTGAGGTGTGCAGATGAAGATGTAGTACATTGGCGGGAAGAACGAGGTTATTATCATGACTGTTATCCCGACATAGTCCATTCGGAGGAGGTGCGTGTTTAGTCGCTTGGAGTGGCAGCAGAAGAGGTGGCACATGCTGCTGCTCAGGAGGCAGAACATCGAGCCGCTTAAAATCACGTAGAATGGCCACTTTGTTGTGGTGGTGGTTATTGTAGTTTGTTTCACCAGAGAATATTTGTTGGAGATGTTGGCTTCTGCTCTTGATGGGAACTGTCTATGAATATACATCAGAAGATGGAGGGCATTATTGTCATTTCATGCATGAGGTTTATGATCATATTTCATGATCGTAAAAGCTCAAAATAAAAAAAACAAAATAAAATAAAAAAAAAAAAAAAAAAAAAAAAAGCTTAAATTGTCCACAGTTTTCAAGCAGAACAAAGACATAACAAGTGCTAGAAAAAAAAAGTTTTTAAGGCTAAACTTATACGAATTCGATCCCCTGACTTCCACTCAGCCCACGACGCGTGGTGGTGCTATATATTAAGATAGTTGTTTTTCTAGCAATTTTTAGCCTCCCCTAAGGCCTTTAATAGAAGGTACATAGATCATACCTAAATTTTCCTTCCTGTTCTTGTTAGATACTACACCTTGCTATTTTTAAGTTCTGCATTTATCATGTTTTTCCAGCTTTTGTCTAAAGTTGTAATATGGCAGTAGAGTTTTTATTATTTGTGAATAACACTTTTTTTCAGTTATTATGTTGAAGAGTATTTTGTAAAGCTAACAATGGCGTTTCAGATAAACTAGTCAAGATTTCTACATATATGATATCAGTTTAGAAATTAGTTTTTTCCCACTGATTTGGTGAATTTTAGTTCCCAATCTGTTCTCAATTGAACGTTCATATTCGTTCGATTTCTCGTTCAATTCATCAAGGCACCTACTCGCGCTATCTCTTGTTTATGATATCAGTTTAGAAATTAGTATTTTCCCCTCTGATTTGGTGAATTTTGTATAATATTACTCATTTTGCTTCTGCAAGTTTTGATCTATTACATTGTGACGTTCGGGGTCCCTATAAAGTTCCTTCATATAATGGCTATATATATTTTCTTACATTAGTGGATGATTACGTAATGAATCTACGTCAACCATTCAACATAATTCACGTGCTGCTGATGAACCTAGAAGATCTACTAGAAATGCTAAGGCACCTACGGATTGATTATGCTTGTTCTGCTCAGCTACAATCTAATATCTAACTCTTCGTCTGCTCTAGTATATTCAAAGTATCCCATTTGTAATGATGTTGGATATCATAAACCGTCTCAATCGTATAAATAATTTATTATTGTTATTACTTCTGAAGTTGAGTCTACTTCCATTTTAGTCTGCAAACTGAACAAATCATTATATGGCTTAAAGCAAGCTTCCAGACAACGGAATGTTACGTTTACAGAGGTTGTTCTTGTTTTGGATTTTGTTCGATCCAAATCAGATTATTTTCTCTTCACTAGATCGAGGGACAGGTACCTCATTTATCGTCTTACTAGTGTATGTTGATGATTTGATTATAGCAGGTCCTTCTACGGCTCTTATGCCCAGCTCAAACTTGATTTAAATCACAAATTCAAATTAAAGGATTTGGATGTTTTTTAGTTCTTGAAATTGCTAGATGTTACATATAATGTTCATAGAATTGGTCAATTCACTTACACGCAGCCCATCGTATGTTAAAACGTATAATTCTGCCTGCAATTGGAACAATGTATATTTGACTAAAGCCGTTATTAGCCAGTCTTTTGTGCAAGTACTACAATTACCAAATAATTATTATTTGCAATTCTACCACAATCGGGTTGTTGTCCCGATTTCTGAGCCCGACTTGTTGAATAATCATCTCAACTAAAAGCATAAACTATCAGTGAAATGTCTCATTTAATGTTAATATCTCCAATACGACTCACTCATTTTATGTCGAGATTGGACCTTTTATCACTAAAGAATAACCACTACCGTACTTGCAAATGCATTTTACCGAGAAAAGAGTGTTGATCTCTATTGAGTATAACTTTTACAAATTGTGTTAGTTATCTATGCCAAGGAAAGAAAGAGAATTAATAGAATTTGATTGACTTACTCAGTAAACATTGTGATGAAATCTGCAAGTTGAGTTACATGCATTAATTTGGCTACTGTCAAACCCACAAACAACAGAAATCCAACTAAGTGCCTGCAACAACATAAATCTTCTTCGGTTTAGTAGCGCAATTATAACGTAAAATAAATTAAGCACAAATAAAATTGCACTTACGTCCAGACATTGAGCGTCTCGTTATGCCATCGAAACAAGCTGAGAAAGGCTAGTTTGAGAGGCCAATCAGCTCTGTAATAATTCAATATAAACTCGTTATCCTTCATGTAATCCGGCAATTCATCGAACGATACGAGATCAGGATAACATCTCTTCCCTAATTTATTTCTCTTACTAATAATCATCTTCTCATCTCTGCTGCTAATTATTCTGTCTTCGACTGACTCTGCAGCTACTTTGAAAAACCTAATACTTTGATCATTTTCTTGATCCATGTTCTTTTTTTGAAATTCCAAGATGATCAAAGAACTCTTTAAATGAACAAGAAAATTAAAACCTTTTTTTTTTTTTTTTAAATTAAGAAATGAAAACTCTATTCGTATATAGTGGTGAGAAACAGGAGAAATGGAGGTTGAGGGTAGGGTGGGTGGGGGTAGGGGGTGGTCCAGATAATAAGTGTTGAAGAAGGAGAGTAATGAAAGCAACTGCACCAACTACCAACATTTAAAGGATGGATGACTCATTGCTTTGGTTGGCTTGGCTATTGTATCACATTAGATTTATGGACATGTGGTTATCAATAAGTTCTCTCTCTATATACATAGTTGTTTGGGTAAATTACAACCACCTTCCTGAGGTATGGTCAAATTACGAAAATCCCCTCATGTTTGGATAATTATATCTACCCCTCAACTACGAATCTTCTTACACACCCACCCTTTTGGTGTCAAATTCAACATAATCATCTAAATTACGTGGAATGTTCTCTAATTTGTACTCGTTTGGTGCAACAATATAGTTTCTGATGCACCCAATCTGATATTTACAAGTTAAGAGACACATCTTATGATCATCTTGCTTCAAAATGTGGAACTTGAATGGGATAAAACGGGTACAAAATTGAGAATATTCCATATAATCTAGAAGATTCCACTAAATTTTAAACTGCTAGGGTAGACGTGTAAAAAGATATACAGTTGAGGGGTTGGATGTAATTACCCAAACAAGAGTGGGTTTTCGTAATTTCACCATACCTCAGGGGGTGGTTGTAATTTACCCTAGTTTTTTTATAAAACGCGATATAGAATTTGATTTTAGAGCAAATGGCAAATAGGCTCATGATAAGTGACTTAAATGCACATAGTTTCAGACAACAAAATGTCTTGCAAATAAATCCATCCACATATAAAATACCCTCCATAATATAATTTTCATCAATTCCATCCATTATACTATAACTTCATCAATATTCCACATTGATGCCGTATTTGAACAAATATATCACATTAACCCCAATTTTCATATTTTCTTAAAACATTTATTTTTTTGAGAAAAAAAAATTTGAATATTTTTTTTACGGCCAGATTCCGGTGTTGACAACTTTGAATAATAAACTTTTTTTCTCTCTAAAATACTGTGTTAACAACAAAATTATTACTAAATTACTTTTTGGAATACCAAAGTAGTAGTATTACTAATATTATTGTCCTAAACAGTAATATTACTAATATTAATATCCCTAAAAGTAATATCACTGTCTCTAGTTAAAAAAATCAGAAAATTGGGTGACCGGCGGGTGACCAGCGGTCTCCGGGGGTGGCGGTTAAAATTGGGGTGAAACTGAAATAAGGGTCAAAATTATATAATTGTTGAAATTGAACTAAATTGGAGTATAAATCATGAAATTGGAGTTAAATTAGGGTTTCAAGGAGTTGGGAGTAATTATTGTATGCATAAAAGAGTTTTCCTTATTTACAAATAAGTTTGAATGAGGTGGATTTATTTGGAAGACAAAACAATTGGATATCTCTATTTTAATTAAATGCTCTTGTCATGGCTCTAGTTTTCCCATTTGCTCTTGATTTTAATAGGGAAGACTTATATTATATAGGGTAAAATTCATTTTGCACCCCTGCATTATGTAAAAGGTATCATTTACCCCCCTAATGTATAGAAAACATCAAACACCCCCCTATTTTTAACGGTCAATGGTCAAATTTTTAACGGTGTTAAATTTTGAATGTGCAATGTCTCTTTTACCCTGTTTTTATGTTTGATATAATTCCTAACTTTTTCAAGGCATATTTTTTGTGGATTGTTGATGATTTCTAGCGTTCGTTCAAATTAGGGTTTTTTGTCGATTTTAGAATTTGATTTTATTTTTGGTTTTCTTTTTCGAGGATTTTTCCATTATAATATGAAAATGTTTAAAGAATGATTGAATAAAGTGAACAAATATGGCTGCAAAAGATGAAAAATCCGGTAAACATTTGTCAAAACAAAGCATCTTATATATAGAAATTTTTTGGGGTATTTTCGTTAATAAAAGAAAAGCCAACATTTCTTTGCAATAGTCGGTCAAAGGGTTTGACTAACGGAATTAGAAGAAAAACTAACGGCAGGGGGGTGTTTGATGTTTTCTATCCTTCAGGGGGGTAAATGATACATTTCGCATAGTACAGGGGTGCAAAATGAATTTTACCCTATTATATATGAACTAAGAGTACTTGGAAAATTTTTGTCAAAAGAAGTATAAACAACATTGATATGTTGAATTACTTGATAGCGATGGATATTATTGTACGTACTTGTGTCGAATGCATAGACTGGTTATAGAATACTATATTGATTATATCGGTTACAGTGTCTATGCAAAAAGAAATTCTCAAAATTGAAGTTACTTAAATTTTATCAACCGTAAATTAAAAGGACCAATGTTATGAAAACCGGACGGGACATCAAGCTACTGGGTCCAACCGGTTTTTCATTTTTTTTTAATAATTATTTATACATAATTTTTATAGTAAATAAAACATATTTTCTTTCACACACATTAACTCATTACCAGTGTTCTGAAAATCGTCTGGGGCGGCCGATTAATCAGTCTCCGAGGTGGAGGCGGTCCAAAACCTTTACGATTGTAGTGTAAACGTTTGAAAAATCGATTTTTTGCCTGTGAGGCGGTCTGAGGCGGTCAAACCTTTAAGGCGGGTCAAACTCGGTGGCAAAAATCGGACAAAAATCGGTTTTTTTTATTAATTTTATTTTTAATTTTATAATTCAAAATAAAATTAAAGTCGGAATTTTAATTAAAAAATATGAGTTTATGCTTTATTTCGTTTATGTTAACTGTTATTGTTAAAGAATTAATGATTATGTCAGGAATGTTTAAGAATAAATGTAAATTCAAAAAATCTGCCTTTTTATTTTATAAGGATATTTATGTATTATGATCTTATTATTATTAAACTTTTACTATGTTATTAGGATATATACATGATGGAGATATAACTATGTTTAAATATCTTTTTATATATGTTTTGAGTATTTATAAATAATATCTAGAAATATATTATATTAAATTTTAAAAACCGATTTATTTCCGATTTATCACCGATTAATCACCGCCGCACCGATTAATCGTCAGTCGGTGTCTGACCGCCTCTGACCCAATTACCGTTTTTTACAACCTTGTTCATTACTCATTTTTAGTTGCAATGTAAATTAAACTTATTTCTCTTTTACACACACAACATAGAACCCACATACATCACACCGAATCATTTCAAATATTATAAAAATTATAATAAAAAATAACATGTCTGCCAATTTCAAAAAAAACTTATTTTATTTATTTATTCTTCTTTCAATTGTGCAGTAAAAATACATTGTTTTGGCCTTTTCAATTGTTTGTTTTTTTTTTTAAATAACAATTTTGGGGAAAAAAACTCTGGTTTTCACCCGCATTCCGATATTACGGTTCAATCGGCCAAACCGAACCGAACAAAACAATGGTTTGCGGTTTAACCGGTTCAACCAACCGGTCCGGTTCATGTTTCAAAACATTAAAAGGACACACTAAAATGGATATGTTATCTATTGAAAGATAAAACTGACATATATAAAAACTTGGGTAAATTGCACTTTACCCCCCTGTGGTTTCAGGGTTTGGCACTTCACCCCCTGTCATATCAATTTAAGCACTTTACCCCCCTGGGGTTGACAAATTGTAGCGGCCGTCTGTTATTCCGTTAAAGTTAACCGCAAGTGTGCTTCACTCGCCCTAAAATGGCGTGGTTGAGATTTTCTCAACTGATTTTTTTTGTATATACCCATCTTATCCCATTTTCATTTAATATAAACCCCTTCCACTGCCTCCCTAAAGAAAACGCTGAACAAAGCCTTCTTCTCCACTTCTTTCTTTATTTTTATTTTTGTTTCCCCATGTCTTCTTCAAGCAGCAGCAGGTTTGGAGAGCCTCAAAATATTGATCTTCGCTACAATGGGAAGGTATGTTTTAGGTTTGGCCAAAAAACACTCATAAAAATTGTGGAAACCGAGGGTAAGCCCTCTAAGGGGCGATTATATTTTGTATGCCCCTATGTAACTTGTGGCTTTCAAGGATGGTGCAATCCCTATGCACTCAATGGCAACCCAATTATCATTGGCAACCCAACTGCAACAACAACATCAAGGACTGGAGATGAATTTGAGCAAATGATTGTTGCCATAAAGACAAGGGTTGAAGTTGTTGAAGCTAAACAAGAAATGATGAAACAAGTGTTGTTTGGATGTCTTTTTTTGTTTTTCATTACAGTTAGTATTCTTGTTTGTAAGCTTTGAAATGTAAACTATTATTAATGGCAAGTAGTACCAATTTTTATCAATGAAATGCTTTGAAATATATATGCTGTGAAATGTGAACATATAGGCTTTAAATTGCTCTGTTTTAAATACATAACACAAAATAACAGTGCAAATATAAGTTCAAAAGAATGGCTATGTTTTAGCCAATACAGACCACAAAAAAGAGAAATACTGTTCAAAAATAATAGCTCTGTTTTAGACCAAAAAAACCCAAAAAAATCACCAAAAAAGCTTCATAAAAAAATCAGGGCATCCAAACTGGTCTCTTGTGCTTTTCCTTTTTTTCCACCAACAGCTGTTCTTTTGCTTCCACCAACAGCTGTGTTTTTACTTCCACCAACTCTAGTTGTCTTTGATCTCTGGAATGATGCACCATTAGAGCCATGTAATAGTGCTGGCTGTGAGGCTGGCTGTTGAGAGAATGGATTCTATGAAAGAAAAGAAGTTAAAGTCAGATTTAATTCAAAAAAAATGCAAGTATTCAAAAAACTGAGTAAACTAACCTCAAAAGTGGATTGAGAAACATGAGGTTGTTGAGAGGAACTTGAATCAGGTACAGATGACTGTTGCATTGAAGGACTTGGTGCAAATAAATTCTAAAACAAACAAATTAAATTGGTCCAAGATAGCAGCTGAGATTTAAATGCTGGGAAAATTAACATAAAATACCTGAAAAGGAGTCTGGAAAATTTCTCCATTCTGAGGGGGTGCTTTTCTAGGAACTGATATCTTATTAACTCTAGGAGTCTGTGTATTTTTTGGCTGCAATCAATGAATACAAAACTCAATTAAACATATAAAAGTAATATAGAACTAAAATAAATAAATAAAATAAAATAGAAATAATAGAAAAATTACCTTATGCAGCTTAGAATTATGATGCATTTCTCCCTTGCATCCTCTTTTATTGTGACCAACCTTCAAGCACCTAGAATTAGGATGCATTTCTCACATGTCACTGGCAAATTCCTTCTTGAAACTTTGGTTGGATCAGCTTTTCTAGTTTCTTGTTCATCAGCTGTCTTGTTTCTTTTCTTTTTTGGCCTTCTAGCTTGTTTTTTGATAACTAGAGGCAGTAGTTGTGGCAGCCCAGACTTTAAATAGTCATGCTCCCCTGGAACTGGAAAGACTTGAAAGTTGTAAGTGGCCAGGTAAGCATCTCTAGTGTAGCAAGAATGCACATAATCCTCTGGTTGATGCTTGTTAAGATAGATAGCACTAACTGCATGCTTGCAAGGAATCCCACTCACATCCCACATCCTACATGTACATGTTCTTGTTTCAAGATTGACAGAGCATTGCCTAATATTAGGCCCCTCATGACACTCCACCTCAAACACCATTCCTCCAGATCAAGTAGGAAAGCAATTAGCACTTGCTTGTTTAATTCTCTCCAATTTCTTGAAAATATTTGGACCAATTTTTCCCTCATGCTTCAGCATACCAGTCCTCTTAACTTGAAACCTGACCATTAAAGATTTTCTGATCCACTCCAACATTGAGATGATGTGCATATCTCTGGCATCAATAATGTAGTTGTTCCAGCTTTCATTCATGTTGTTGACAAGAATATCACATTTTGCGCTTGGGCTGAAATGTGACATGGCCCAATTTTCAAGATTAGCTTTCATTAACCACTGAAATGCACAGCTGCTTTCCTCACCATTCACAACTGTTGGTGGATCAGCTTTCTTGATTTCATCCATATAGTACTTCCATCCATTCAAATTTGATGTGGAGGCTGCTTTCCAGAATAAATCTTTCAGCTCTTTCCCTTTGTATTTCTGTTTGAAGTTGGCATACATATGCCTAATGCAGTATCTATGCTCAATACCTGGCATCAGTTCATTCATGGTCTCAACTAGGCCTTTTTGTTTGTCAGAAATGAAGACCCATCCTCTTTCTTGAACTTCCCCCATGTCTCTAAGAAATTGAATTAGAACCCATGTCCAAGTCTGTTTGCACTCAGATTCTACCACAGCTACTGCAAGGGGAAACAAATTGTCATTTCCATCCCTGCAAATAGCACTTAGAAGCTGACCTCCAACTGCTCCTTTGAGAAAACAGCCATCCAACCCTACTATTGGTCTACATGCTGCCAGATATCCACTCTTTTGTGCAGCCAATCTAGCATAGAGTCTTAAGAATCTAGGCTGAGTACCATCTTCACCAGTAGTTTGAATCTTGAAGCAACTTCCTGGATTATGGTGAAGCACAGTTGCACAGTAATCTCTCAACAATGCAAATTGTTTCTGTATGTCTCCCTCCACAATCTTCTTTGCATTGTTTTTTGCTCTGTAGCACTGCCACCTACTAACTTCTACATTCAAATCCTTTCTTACTTTTCTTTTCATTGAGTTGATTTTCATCTCTCCATTGTCTCTGAAATCATCCAGATACTCCTCAACTAAGTATCTGGAATTCACTATATGATTATCATGTTTTCTCCCACATTTGTGTTCTGATATGAAGGTCTTGATCTGGAATGTGGATGTATTGCCAATAGGAGATGCATGTATTCTCCATCCACAATCTTCCTTACACTTGGCAATAATCTTCATGTTCTCATTCTTTATGTATGTGATGTCATGGCCTCTTAGTACATTCCATCTAATCATGGCTCTTCTAAATACTTGTGGTGTAGAAAACATTAGTCCAACAAACAAATTTGGATTCTTCATACCAGTAGCCTCATTAAATTCATCAGACTTTTCACCTTCAGAATCAGTACTCCTCAACTCTTCAGGATTTTCAGGATCTTCACAATCAGACCACCACTCTTCTACATTCACATCAGGACCTTTACTTTCAACTGCTGGAGCTTTTTATGTCACAAAGATGTCATCATTTGGCATCTCTAAACCATCATCAAACCAGCTAGGAACAGAACTGTGTACAGATGGTGGTCTATCTTCATCATCTTCATCTTCCAACTCTTCATCTTCACTTTCTACACCCCATGTTTGCTGATTTTCTTCAACTTGACTAGACTTTGCTTTCTCACTAGTAAGCTCTTCATAAACTTCATCAATAAGATTTTCAAATTTTGTCCAAGGTTCAAGAACTGGTTCAACAACTGGTTCCACTTGCACTTCAATATTTGGCTCAGCTTCTTTTTCAACTTGTTCTGCATACATACAGATGACATCCAGTCCTTCATAAGCATTAACCATAGCAGCAACATCTGCATCCTCCTTCAATGTACATAAACCTCTATCCAAAGTTTCCCCAGCCACTCTGTAGTATAACAAACATCCATGCCTGAATCCCAATTGAGCTTGGTATAGCTGCTGAAAGTACAAATAACACAACATGCCTCTGTCTTCAACTTCTACAAACTCCACTTTCCCTCCAACATACTAAATGCTAGGTTTCCACATAAAATTTCCACCATAATGGAACTCTATAGTAACAGGGGTTCTGCAATCAATAAAGAATAGATAAGAATATTATTTTATGGAACAATAAGAAACAAAAGACTGTTGTTTTAGGGAACAGTAAGTCACAATTTAGGAATAAGAAATGGGGGACCATTCTCAGAATCAATAAAAAATTGAATAGGGGACCACAATACACAATAAAAAAACCAAACCAAACACATTGAAAGAAACAATTGAAACAATAAAATAAGGGCAAAATCTTACTGGATTATTTCGAAAATTAGGGCTTTGAGCCATATTACAAAAAAATATAAAATTTCGGACAAGAAGACTTTGGCATCCCCCAGATTTAATGAATTAACAAAATAAATCAAATGAACAATCAACAAACAAAGGATTAAAGTGAAAAACTTACATGGGATCTTCCATAGCAATTTCGCCCTTCCTCTACAACCAGTTTATGCGAAGCCTTGGTTCATCTATTGTCGTAATCCTCTTTGAATCCTAATTATGTGAACTACTGGTTCAAATCAGTCCAAGATTTGTCGAAAATATTCTGAATTTTAGGGGAACGAAATTGAGAATTGTATTTGGGGAGAAATAAAATGAATAGGGTAAATGGGGATCGTGGTTTTCACCTGTAAAAAGTCAGAAAATAAAAGGGTATTTCAGACATTAGCCAGTTTCCGTTACTCAAATAGACGGCCGCTACAATTTGTCAACCCCAGAGGGGTAAAGTGCTTAAATTGATGTGACAGGGGGGTGAAGTGCCAAACCCTGAAACCACAGGGGGGTAAAGTGAAATTTACCCTAAAAACTTTATTTCTTAGTTTAATTGGTAATTTAACACTTTATAAAGCTAGAAAGGTAATAACATGAAAAATGTATTTGTACATTTCAATGGTCCAAAGTCACAAATAAATTTTTTGAAATATTAAATACATATCTTTTTTTTTTAAAGAGAAATGATGAGCATTTATTGGGCATAACACGCCAAGTTGGGAGGTACAGATGAACCCTCCAGACAAGCTAAGTCTAAAGCAATAGCAAGGAAGTGAGCAAGTTGATTACAATGACGTTAACAAAAGAAAACGAGCAACTATTAAAAGATTTGGCAGTAATTTTAATTTTCTTTATAAAAGCACCATAGGACGTGAGAGAATGGTCTTCGCCTTGAAGGGCTCCGATGATATTCAAGCAATCCCCTTCCATAATAACAGCTGGCCAACCTCGACGAGATGCTTTTAGGATCGCTCTAAGTGTGGCGTGGGCTTCCCCTTCGACTGGACGAATCATACCCGGTATCCTTTCCACGCTCCACCATATCGTCTGTCCCAATGAATTCCTAGCCACCATAGCCGTCGAATAGAAATTGTGGCCCGGCGGAATGGCAACATCATAATTAACCTTAACGACCCCATGTGGAGGAGGCTGCCAGGCTATGGGATTCGGCCGTTCCTTTAAGGGAAGGATAGGAGATCGTGCCTCGTTAAACATAACCAAATAGCTTTTGCACCAAGGCACCAACTCATCAACTCTGAATCCCGATTCTCCATGGATGATATTATTCCGCTGTTCCCATAGCTTCCACCACACCACCACCGCAAGTAAGAAATCGTCATTGCTCAAACTCATTTCAGAAATTGTAGCGGCCATGTCGAGAAGGTTAAAACTCACCATTCAGCTTCAAGTTGAAAGGTGAACCCAGCCATAGTTGCAATACACTTCGGCAACTAAGGACCACATGTAAGATCGTTTCCGGTTGATCATTACACAAAACGCAAAATGGAGAATCTGAGATGTGACGTCGGAACAACTCTGCATAAGTAGGGAGAATGTCCGAGATCGATCGCCATACAAAGTGCTTTGATCTTGGGAGGGATTTTCAAATTCTATACCATTCTCCACATCTTTGTGCGCTCATCACAGCTTAAGATGGACCACTCTCTGAGCGATGATGACCAATAGCGGTGTAGACATCAATAAGGCTAGCATGAATGGCATGATAACATGATTTTAAGTAAACTTACCCGTGTTGGAGAGATGCCATATGATTCGGTCTTTCACGTTGCAACTGCCGATGGGAACCGCCAAAATACGAGCTTGGTCGATAGGCCAGAAGAGGTCGTTAATCAGAGTAATATTCCATGTATGTGTCCCCGTCTCGATCAAGTCCGAAACTGTATTAGGAAAAGAGGAGTGAATCGGCCATTTCGTAAAGATCTATCCATTCCCATTATCCCTTAACCAATGATCGCCGCAAATAGACGTTGTGGTGCCATCTCCAATTCGCATGTGACTCCATGTTCTAACAAATAGGCGGCGGGCAGCAAGCAAGCTTCTCCAAGTAGCTGAAGGCAGGAGACCGAGTTCTGCCCTCCAGATGTCGCCGGTTGAGAAATAACGGGCCCCAAGAATTCTTGCTAACAGTAGATCCGGATTTGTGAGATACTCCATTCATTTCTTTTTAACTGTTGCTTAGTTGAGAAACTCTCGTGATATGACATTTATAATTAGGAGGTTTCCATTTATATTTCCCCTTTTTAAAATAAATCCATAATTTATTATTTATTATAGTAATACAATTATGCCCTTCATAAACTCTATATCCTACAATCAATTCATTTTTTTGGGAATAATTACAGTTTTCGTCCCTATACTTTACCACTAAAACAATTTTGGTCCCCAAAATGTCACGCCAACGAAATATATCTCTAAACTCACCACTTTTGTACGATTTTGGTTCGAAAAGTTTCATGGTTAAGTTGGACGGATTTGTCACGTGCGGCGCACGTAGCGTCCATTTGGCTGTTAATTGTCCAACTGGACAACACCCAGTCCACCTCATTTCCCTCCTCTCTATCTAACCCAATTTCCCAATCCCGTAAACCCTACCAAAATTAGATCCCCAAAATTTTCATCACTCTCTCAAGCTCCCAATTTCCCAATAACATAAGCACTGGGCAGACAAAATACCAAATTTACGTATTGCTTGCTCTCTCAATCCGTAAACCCATAATCCATACGCAAATTTGGAGGTAGAAGCTGGTCTCTGGTTGCGCGCAGCACATAAAGGAAAATGTCGATGAGGAGTGCATCGCAGCTTGATTTTACCCATAATTACAGTAGGTTTTCTTAAACTTGTGGTTAAAATACTTACATTTGTAGTATAGTTACTTCACTGAGTGATTTTGTGTTTTCTGTGTTTTGTGTATTTTTTTTAGGGATAATTAGTGAAAACCCCCCATTCATTTACTTATATTAAAGTGGATATAACCTCCTTTTCATTATTAGTGAGAACCCCCACCTTATATTAAATATTTTTTTTAATTAATATTATTTTTTACATGACTAATATATCTAATTTGCCCTATTATATCTAAAATAATCAAACCTATTTCACGTTCTCTATATTTCTCTTAGTTTCCTCTCTATTTTCTCTCTACATAACGCCGCGGCCTCCAACCCTCTTCCATCTCTGCGCCACCACCGCCTCTAACCCTCTTCCATCTCTGCGCCGCCATCGTTACTCTCCTCTACCAACGGCGTTCCTCCCTCCACCGACGCGAAAAGAAGACGGTCTTCAAATACATTTTTCTCAATATGCATCACATCCAGATTATGGCGAATAAAATTTGACATCCAATAAGGCAACTCCCAAAATATGTTTTTCTTAAACCAATTATGAGCTTCACCAAATCTAGATAACCTTTTAGGATTGTCACATTTGTCATATTTTGGTTTGGGAATATGATATATTGTTAGATTAGGTTGTGGTTTATCACTTTTGCTTGTAATAACATTCTAGTTTGTATCAGTGATAAACTCTCTTTTGGCATGCTATATATGTTGTCACATGCAAGCGCATATGTACAGACTTTATAGTCACTATAATTATACTATGGATTGATTAAGTTTAATCATGAGATATTTTTTAGTATTGTGGCTATTAAACAAAATTTCTAGTTAGTGGGTTACACCGCAATAAAGGATATTGACATGCCTCATTTGAGACTAGCACTTAGTGTGTGTCGAATGTTACATTTCATCACTGTAGTGACATCGGCTTACTTGAGTGGATACTCAGAGGATAAGTTATCTCATTGATTTTTGTATTCATATGTGTGTCGCTATTTCCGTTCTCTTATATCAAATGTCTTATAATCGTTCGAAATTTTCAGCAACAAATTTTCTTTCATCAGAAATTTGTTGATAATTTGTTAGTAAATAATGACGAGTGTTTGAATTACAAAATTTTCTTTGGTGAGAGTTTAAATCCCTTGCCAAATTAGCGACCCTACACCAACGAAACTTGATTTCGTCATTATATCAGCAATGGGTTAGCGATAAACTTTAAACCTCTCGCAAATACATTTACATTCATCGCAAATCTTTTAGTAATTTTCTCACTAAATAGCGCAAACATTTTAGTTGATAGATTTCCATCATTGGAGCTCATTTTTCGTAATTCCATCGCAAAATTGGCAACGGATATTCCATGATAAAATACGGTCACTACAGTAGCGATGTAGTACCGACAAACTACGGTTCCACCACAAAATTACTAATAAATTTGCGACGATCTTTAAATCCCTCACCAAATTAGCGACCCTTTACTAACGTAACTTGATTTCGTCGTAATATCGACGATGGAGTAGGAACAACAAATGGTGCTGTTGCAAGATCAGCAATGGATTATCGACGAACTTTAGAACCTTATCAAATTAGCGACCTTGTACCAACGAAACTTGATTTCGTAGTAATATTGGCGGCGAAGTAGCAACAACAAATGGTGTTGTCGCAAGATCAACAAACGATTACTAACGAACTTAAACTTCCCACAAATATATATTCGTTCATCACACATTTGTTGGCAATTTTATGCTGCTAGATTAACGTCGTTGGGGCTCATTTTTCGTGGTTCCATCACAAAA